GCCAAGGCCATGGCCAGAGCAGGGCCAAGGCAGAGGGAGTGCCATGGCATGGCAGGGCCAGGGTAGCACAGGGCCAAGGAAATTCCAGGGCAGTTAGGAACCAGGGCAGGGGCAGGGCCAGCGCCAAGGCACGGCCAGGGCCAGGGCAGGGCCAGAAGCAGGACAGGGCCAGAGCCAAGTCAGGACCAGAGCCAAGTCAGGGTCAGGGCTATGGTAGGACCAGTGGCAGGGTAAGGGACATGGCAAGACCAGGGGCAGGGCCACGGGCATGGTCAAGTCAGGGCCAGGGCCAAAGCAGGCCCCTGGAATGGGCAGTATTGGGCAGGGCAGGGCAGGTCCAGGGTAGTACAATGCCCAGTCAGGGCTGGGCCAGGACAGGACTAGAACCAGGGCAGGGTCAGGGTCAAGGCCAGGGCAGAACCGGGGCAGGGTCATTGCCAGGGAAAAACTAGGGACAGGGTTACAGCCAAGGACATGACAAGACCAAGGCCAGGGCCAGAAGTACGGCAGAACCAGGGCCAGGGCAGGGCTAGGGTAGCACAGGGCCAAGGCAAGGCAAGTGTAGAGCAAGGACTAGGCCCAGGTGTGGCAGGACAGGGACAGGGAAGTCCAGAGCCAGAGCAAGTTCCAGGACATGGACGGTGCAGGGCCAGAAACATGTCAGGACCAGAAAGGGGCCAGGGCAAGGGCAAGGCCACAGAAGGACCAGAAAAAAAGCATGACCAGGGAGGGACCAGGGCAAGGGCAGGGCCAGGGCAAGGGTGGGGCCAGGGCAGAACCAGAGCTAGGGCAGGCCAAAGGCAGGGCCAAGGCAGGGCAGGGCCAGGGTAGGGTAGGGCCAGGGGAGGGTGAGGGTAGGGCCAGGGCAGAACTAAGATAGCACAGGACCAAGGAAGGGCCAGAGGAAGAGTAAGAGAGCACAGGCCCAGGGCAGGACCAAGGAGGGGCCAAGGCCAAGGCATGGCCAGTGTGGGGCCTGGGCACTGTCAGGGCCAGGGCCGGGCCAGGACCAACACAGGGCCAGGTGCTGACCAGGGTCAAGCCTGGGCCAGGAACAGGGCTAGAGCAAGGGCAGGGCCAGGACAGAATCAGGACCAGGACAAGGCAAAGCCAAGGCCAGGGCACGGCAAGAACAGGGTAGGGCAAGGCCAGGGTAGGAGAAGGCCAGGGTAGGGCCAAGGCCAGGTCAGAACCAGGATAGGGCAGGGTTAGGGTAGCACAGGGCATGGCCAAAAGCAGGGCAGGGCCATAGCAGGGGCAGGACTAGGCACACGGCCAGGGCAAGTGCTGGATCAAGGCACGGTGGGGTCAATGTATGGCCAGAGCAGAGGATGACAAGGCAGGTCCAGGGCCATGTCATGGACAGGGGAGGCCCAGGGGCAGGCAAGGGTAGGGCCAGGGCAAGGCCAGGGAGAAGGCAGGGCCAGGGCCAAGGCAGTGCCAGGGCAGTGCAGGGCCAATGCAGGGTGAGGGCAAGGCCGGGTGTGGAAGGGCAGGGAAGGACCAAGGAAGGGCCAGGACAGGGCCAGGGCAGGGTCAGCGCCAGGACAACGGTACAGCCAGGGCCAGGAACACGGTAGAACCAGGGCTGGGCCCAGGCTAGGACGCACAGGGCAGGGCATGGCCTGTGCAAGGCAGGGCCAGAGCCAGGCCATAGAGAGGCGAGGGCCAACACCAAGGCAGAGTCAGGGTAGTTCCAGAGCTGAGCAGGGTCAGGGCAGGTCCAGAGTCGAGGCAGGGCTAGGGCCCAGGCAGGGCCACGACAATACCAGGGCAGAAGAGAACAGGACAATGGCAGGACTAGGCCATAGCAGTGCCTGGTCAACTCCAGGGCAGGGCTAGAAGAAGGATAGGGCCAGAGCTAATGCTCAGCACAGGGACAGGGCATGGCAGGAAGCACCAGAGCAGGGACAGGCCAAGGTTGGGGCAGGGCAAATCAAGGCCAGGACACTTCCAAGTCCAGCTCTGGCCCTGCCTTGGCCCTGGCCCCTCCCTGGCCTGACCTTATCTCTGGCCCTGCCCTAACTATGCCCTGTGTATTTCACCAATGTTTCATAACCAGAATCCTACAAGGAACTTAAACAAACTAATCAGCTATTTTTCTGCATTTTTAGTACAGACAGGGTTTCACAATGTTGCCCACGCGGGTCCCGAACTCCTGAGCTCATGCCATCCACCAGACTTGGCCTCCCAGAGTGCTGGGATTACAGGAGTGAGCCACTGTGCCAGGCCAAGTATTTAACCTCTTTATGCCTGTTTCTTACATTTGGAAAATGGGAATGCTATAAGCACCTAGTACATAAAGTTATTGTGAGAATTAATGCCTCACATATATACATATTTATATAGCTATACTCTTAAGACAGTACCACAAGCAAAGGAAGTACTAGTTAAAATTTAGTTATTAGTAACTAATACTATCGTTATTACTATTACAAATTACATAGTATACATAGTATTACTACTATTATAGTTATCTTAAAAATCTAAAATAAAATTTTTAAATAACATTCTAACAGTAATCTCTCCTGCTCTGCCCTGGCCCTGCCCTGGCTCAGCCCTAGTGCTGGCGCTGCCCCAGTCCTACCATATCTCTGGCCCCGACCCCTCCATGGCCCTGTTGCTATCCTGGCCCTTCCCATCTTTAGGCCTTACCATGACCCTACCCTGGTCCTGACCCTGGCCCTACCACGATAGAACAGAGAAGAGGTAGGGCAGAGCCAGGGAAGGGCCAGCGCAAATAAGGGACAGGACACGTCCAAGTCCAGGAAAGGGCCATGGCCATGACAGAGCCAGGGTGAGTCTTTGGCAGGGCCAGGTTTCAGGCCAGGGCCAGGGAAGGGTCATGGCAGAGTCACTATATGGCCAAGGTCCAGGCCAAAGCCAGGGAAAGGGCAGGGTCAGGTCTGCATAAGAGCAGGGCCAGGGCCAGGGATATGGCAGGACCAGGGGCAGGGCCAAGGTCAGGGCTGTGCCAGGACAGAACAAGAGCAGAACAGGACAGGACCAGAGCCACACCATAGAGAGCGCAGGGCAAATGCCAAGGTAAGGCCAGGGTAGTGCCAAGGCTGAGGCAAGGTCAGAGGAGGTCCAAGACTGAGTCACAGCTAGAACCAAGACAGGGGCAAAGGCCAGGGCAGATCTAGGGCACAAGCAGGGCAGGCTAGGGCAGGGCAATAACAAGACCAGGCAATGGCAGGGCCAGACCAAGACAGAACAGGGCACAGGCAGGGCAGGGCCAGGGCCATGACTGGGGCAGGACAAGAATCAGGGTCCAGGCCAGGGCAAGGGTATGGCCAGGGCAGAGGCAGGGCCAGAGCCAGGGTCTGGGCAGGCACAAGGCAGGTCCATTGCAGGGCCAGAGCAGGGCCGGGGCAGGGCCGGGGCCAGGACCAGGAAAGGGCAGTGTCAGGACCAGCGCCAGGGCAGGACCAGCAACATGGCTAGGACCAGGACAGGGACAGGATCAGGACTAGGGCCAGAATAGCATGCCAGGGTAGGGCCAGGACAAATCAGGACCAGGACAGGTTCGGGCCCAGGACCGAGCCAGGATATGGTCTCAAGCAGTGAAGGGCAAGGGCCAGGGCCAGGGTCCATGCCAGTGCCAGGGCCAATCCAGGGCAGGGGCAGGGCCATAGTCTGGGTAGGACCAGGTTCAGGGCAGGAGAAAAACAAGGGCAAGGACAGTGCAGGTTCTTGGCACAGCCAGAGACCAGGACAGGATCAGGGCACGGCCAAGGCAGGCTCTGGGCTGTGGTAAGACCAGTGACAGGGCTTGGGCTAGGACAGTGATAGGGCCAGAGTCAGGGCAAGGGTCAGAGCAGTGCAAGGTGAGGGTAGGGCCAGGCATTTCAGTGTCAGGACAGGGTCAGGGCCAGGGCAGAACCAGGGTAAGGTCTCAAGCAGCGAAGGGCCACGGCCAGAACAGGTCCAGGGCAGGGCCATGACAGAGCCAGGGGCTGCGTTAGGGCCAGGGCATGGACAGAGCAGGGAAAGGGCCAGGGCCAGGGTAGGGACAAGGCCAGAAATATGGCAGGACCAAGGGCAATGCCAAGTCCAGGGCTGAGCCATGACTGAGTCAGGGCAAGGCATGGTATGGCCAGTGCAGGACACAACCAAACCCAGTCCACAGAGAGGGCAGGGCCAATGCCAGGCTAGTGCCAAGGCTGAGGCAGTGTCAGGGCATGTCCAGGGCGGGGCCAGGGCCAGAACCGAGTCAGGGCATGACCAAGGCAGGGTAGGGCAGGGCAATGGCATGGCCAGGTCAGTGCCGATACAGGGCAGAACAGGGCAAGGCGATGGCAGGGGTGGGGCAAGGCAGGGACAGGCCTAGGCAGGGCCAGGTCACCTCAGGGCCAGGACACCTCCAAGTCTAGTTCAGGGTGAGGGCAGGGCCAGGGCCAGGGCAGTGGCAGGACAAAGGCCAGAGCCAGGGCCAGGTCTGGGCTATGGGCAGGTCCAGAGCAGTGCCTAGCCAAGGCTAGGGTGAGGGTCAAAGTAGGGCTAGGGCAGGGTCAAAGCCAGAGTAGGGAGAAGGCAGAACCAGGGCAGGGTGATGACACAGCCAAAGCATGGCAGGGCAGGGTGGTGCCAAGACCGGTGGCAGACCACTGCCAGATCAGGCCAGGGAAAGGCCAGGGTGAAGGCAGAGCCAGGAAATGCTCTGGGTCAGGGCTAGGACCAAGGCAGAGCAGGGCCAGAGCCAGGGCCATGGCAGTCAGGTTAGGTCCCTGGCAGAGCCAGGTTTCAGGCCAGGGCCAGGGCTGCAGCAGGGGCAGGGCCTGGATAAGAGCAGGGCCAGGGCCAGGGCCAGGGATATGGCAGGACCAGGGTCAGGGCCAGGGCCCAGGCTGGGCCAGGACAGGGCCAGAGCCAGGCCATAGTGAGAGCAGGGCAAAAACCAAAGCAGGGTCAGGGCATATCCAGGGAGTGGCCAGTGCCAGGTGGGATCAGGGCACAACCAGAGCAGGGCAATGGCACCACTGAGCCATGCCAGGAGGGCAGAACAGGCAGCACCATGGTGGGGCCAGGGCAGGGATGGGCCAAGGCAGGGCTGGAACAAATCAGGGCCAGGATATGTTCAAGTCCAGGTCAGAGCCAGAACAGGACCAGGACCATGACCATTGGCAGGCCCAGGGCCATGACAAGACCAGGGTCAGGACAAGGGGCAGGGCCAGAGCCAAGGCCTGGCCAGCATAGGATCAGGGAAGCTCCAGGGCAGAGGTAGGGCCAGGGCCTGAGCCAGGGAAGGGCCAGTACAAGGGCAGCATCAGGGCAGGGACAGGGTAGCACAGGGCCAAGACAGGGCCAGGGCGGGGCCAGAGCAGGCCAGGGTTGAGACAGTCCAGGTAAACGGTAGGGCAGGTCCAGGGGCAGGGGCGGGGCAGTACAGGGCCAGGTCCACGGTGGGTACAAGGCAGAGCCAGGCCCATTGCCAATTCACTGACCCTCCCTACAAGGCTCCTACCACCTGGCCACTGCTGTAGGCCTACCCCCACCACTGTTGCTGCCATCTCTGCTAACTGCCACCCCCAACCCACCCCCCACTGCGTAAAGTTCAGCCCTGGCCGCAGCCACCTGCCCTCCTAGCATGGCTGCCCTCCTACCACTCTGGCATGCTGCAGTCTCTGTCGCCACCACCAAGCCACAGTGAGGTGAGCCATGCTGTTGCAGGCTTCAGGTGTTTCCACCTCCTCCTGGCATGGAGCAGTTGGGTGGGCAAAGCCAGAAAAGCCTAGAGGAAGATGCAGGGGGTGGGAGTGTTAGCGCCTCACCTTGTCATGCTGGCCACTGGGTGGCAGGGGCCAGTTTCAGCAAAGGCACTCACACCCACCCTCCAAAGTTCAGCATCTCCTTTTGGCCCAAGTTGGCCAGGAACTGGGGCATGGTGTGGGTGTTGGAGACGCCACAGCCCCCAGCTCCCCACTCCACAGGAACTGCTGGGCCAACCGGGTTGTACTCCTCGGGGAGCAGGAGCAGCAGAAACTCAGACCCAGCCAACCCTCCCCACCCAGGTGCCATATCCTGTTCCCGATGCCTCCACACACAGGGCCCTTTC